AGGAGCTGCGACAATTTTTAGAATTAATAGGGTACTGCAGGACCTGGACTGAGATTTTTTCCCTTTTAGCCAGACCCCTGTATGATCTTTTAACACAAAACAGCCCCAGTGTTGTGATATGGACACCAGAGGGGAAGCAGAGGTTTAAAGTGTTAAAAAAGAGGTTAACCGAAGCTCAGGCTCGAGGTCTTCCAAACCAGAAAAAAAGAGTCGAATTATTTGTGGATGTTAAACAGGACCATGCTAAAGGAATTTTAACACAGGAACATAAGGGTAATCAAAGGCCAGCGGCCTGTTTTTCCAGAATGCTAGATCCAGTGGCCAGAGGGTGGCCACATTGCCTGCGAAATCACACAGCCTCGGAGATAATGGTAACAGAGGCCAGAAAACTGACAGCAGGGGGATCCCTCATTGTTCAAGTGTCGCATCAGATTAAGACTTTGTTAACTGAAAGAGCTTCTAAGTGGGTGACCAGTGCTAGGCTATTACAATATGAAACTTGTTTAACAGAACAGAAGGATTGGGAATTAAGGAGCGGGGAAGGGTTTAACTCGGCCGCCTGTTTAACTGGTCCTGAGGGAAGGGACCCAGAAGAAACTCATGGTTGTATTCAGGTAATAGATCTTGAGACCCAAGCTAGGGAAGAATTATGGGATGCCACTTGGTCAAATGGAGAAAATGTGTTTGTTGATGGATTTTCCAGAATAGTAGAAGGGAAACAGACTACAGGATATGCTGTAGTAAAAGGAAGAGAACTGCAAGAGGGAGAGAAGTTCCCTTCCACATGGTCGGCACAGACAGTAGAATTGTATGCTTTAGTAAGAGCCTGTGAATTGTATCAAGGAAAAGCAGTCAACATACTCACCAATTCAAAACGTGCATATGGAGTGGCTCACGTGTTTGGAAAACTGTGAGAAGAAAGATGGTTATCAACCTGCAGAGGAGAAACATTAGTTCATGAGAATTTAATTATTTGCCTGTTGGAGGTGGTAAATTTACCGGAGAAGGTGGCCATAATATATATCAGGGGGCATCAAGTAGGATACTCAGAAGAGGCATCAGGTAATCGACTGGCGGATGAAAAAGCTCTGAAGGTGGCAATGCTCCCAGAAGTATCTAAAATCCTTCCTTAACTCCCAGTGACTCAACCACTGCCAGAGAAAATTCCTTTTCTGCCAGAGGAGTTGGAGATGATTAAAAATACTGAGGTGGAAGAAAGAGGAGATAATTGGTTTACAAAGAATGGTAAACAATGGGTACCGAAGGCTTTGGCCTTAAAAATATTAAAACAATTACCTGAAGGGAGTCATTGGGGCCCTAGAGGACTGGCAGAAGCCTTTTGCAAAGTGTACGCTGCCGTGGGTCTTTTTGTTCTAGCAAAAAGAGCTGTGGATGGTTGCTTGATTTGTGCCAAATAATCAAGTTACAAGGAAAGTTGCTAGAGGGGGATGACCCTGGGCTGTACATCCATTCCAGCAATGTCAGGTAGATTTTACTGAAATGCCCTGAGCAGGAAGACTGAAATATCTTTTGGTAATAGTATGTCAACTAACAGAATGGCCAGAAGTCTTTCCAGTTGCCTCGGCAACCACCAGATCAGTTACTAAAGTGCTCCTGGAACAAATAATTCCAAGATACAGAATAGTGGAGGCTATAGACTCAGACCAGAGGAACACATTTTGCAGGAAAAATTCTTCAAGGGGTTGTAGTGGCTTTAAGAATACAATGGGACTTAAATACTCCGTGGCATGCTCAGAGTTCAGGTCAAGTGGAGAAAATGAATGGGGAAGTTAAGAAATATCTGTTGAAGTTAGTTTTAGAAACCAAAATGCCATGGATACAGCTTCTACCGTTAGCCTTGGCCAGAATACGGGCCAAACCTAGAGGAGATATTCAATTATCCACCTTTGAATTAATGTTCAGTATCCCTTATCCTGCTAACTCTCAGCCTAGTTGGGAGGTGGAGATAAATGATGTATTTTTAAGACAATATGTGGGCAGAATACTGTCTCTTGTAAAATCTCTTCGACAGGAAGCTCAGGTGGCACAGATCCTGCCTTTGGACTTTGCTGTCCATAGCATTCAGCCAGGAGACTGGCTCCTAATTAAAGAGTGGAAAGAAGCGCCATTGGTGGCAAGGTGGCATGGACCATACCAGGTACTGTTATCTATGGAATCAGCAGTCAGGACAGCCGAAAATGGGTGGACTCACCACACTTGAGTATGATTTCCAAAGTCCCAGAAACTTGGACTTCTAAGGTGGAAGAAAAGGATGGGAGACTACAGTTAACTCTCCACAGAAGTGAACTGGAGTAGTCGTGTGTCAGCTTTGGGGGGAGGCCTGGGTGTTAACCCACAGATCATCTACTGAAGTGGTCTCTCCTTCTGAATCTCGAGTGATTGGAAGGGACTGATATTCACTGCCATGCTGTCGTTGCTTTCTTTATAGAGGGTAACTTGGTAACTAGGATGCTGTTCTCAGTAATTACAATCCTATCTCTACATTGATGGCTGGGCCAAGGTTGTGAACGGGAAAATTGGTTTCTAACTTTAGGAGAAGAGGTAGCCAAGGCTTTTAACCTGAGCAATTGTTGGGTGTGTGAAGGTCCAGAGGGATCCAAGGACTGGCAGTGGGTAAGCCTGTTGAACCGCAGTGGTGAGTTAGCAATTTGAGCACAGTTCATAGTGGAACTGAGTTTCGGACCAAGGAGGAAAGTCCATGGCATTTTTTTCTTGGGAGAGGTACTCAATGGGACAAAAGAAGGGGGGATATATGTAGGAAAGAGGGTTTGTGAATGGACATTGTGTCCTGGATATGAGCGAGACACTCAGTTGTTCCAAATACAGAAAGAAATGGAATCAGACCCATATACAGATTTTTTTTTCATTTGTAATGGGTAAAGCGTTCACATACTGATTTTCGAGGGGAGGGTTATAATATATTTAGATTGAAAGTTCGATTCTGCAGTTCTGTATTGACAAAAAGACAATACTACAGAAGAAAGACAGGAGGCATGAGTATTTTGTTGGGCATGGCAACATCAGAATGGGACGAGAACTTATTTCCAAGATCAGAGGAATGCAGGTAGTAGCCATACCTAATGAATTGGCTACAAAGAATAATGAGATGATGTCTCTGTGACTAATTCCAAGACCAAAGATGAATAAGGAGGAGAAAATGAGGTTAACCTTTGTAAAGATGAAATAAGGAGAGACTGAGAAAAAAAGAGAGCAGAGTATCTTTACAAATGAGTGATAAAACAAAAAGGAGAGCAGGGGTGTTTTACATAGCAGTGATGGAACAAAGAGGAGAATATCTTTCATAAATGTGGGAGTCAGAGTATGCAGCCTATAAGGTGAAGACAAGGAGATACTTTGCCAGTAGGAACATTAATATGGTCAGCAGCAAGGATGTTCTAAACTTTTGAACTGTGAGAAAGAGCACGCAGGCTCCACAGGCGGATGAGTATTAACTTCTCCGCCCTGGGCAGCATAAAGTTGGAGTTAATGAAACGTGGGATGTGTGTTGGGAAGGGGGCCCATGTTAAGGGGGAACATGGAACAGGTGGGTCGGGATGCCTGAACCTCCCGAGTGCCTCAGCCAGCGGGCAAAGGGAGATCTGGACAAAAGGAGGCTGCGTCCTCTGGCAACGGGAGAGACCTCACCGGGACTTGGCAACTCCAGGGGACTCTATCTGAATAAAGTTAACATTCCTCTGTCTTCTTTGTGAACACGGACCTCTGGCAACGGGATTTCCGTACAAAGGGTCGGACTGGGTGTGACTTGAGGCTACTGGGAGGTGGACTAGGACCAGCTGGGTCTAACTGGTGTGACTGGTTGCTGCTCAGGGCTACTGGGAGGGTGACTGGAACAAGCAGAGGCTAAAGGGGATGGCCTGTGAACAGCTTGGGGCTACTGGAAGGGGAACTGGGACTAGCTGGGGACAAAAACATTGGACTGGGACTGGCTCGGTGCTACTGGGAGGGGCACTGGGTCCATTTGAGGCTAAAGGGGATGGAGTGGGACCCGTTAGGGGCTACTGGGAGGGACTCTGGGACCAGCTCATGCTAAAGGGGATGAACTGGGACCAGCTCAGGGCTACTGGCAGAGGGACTGGGAACAGCAGGCGCTAAAGCAGACAAACTGGGACCTGCTCTGGGCCACTGAGAGGGGGACTGGGACCGGCAGGTGCTAAACGGGATGGACTGGTGCTGCCTTGGGCTACTGAGAGGTATCCTGAGACCAGCAGGGGATAATCAGGATGAACTAGGACTGGTTCTGGGCTACTGGGAGAGGGACTGAAACCAGCAGAGGCTAACAGGGGTGGAATGAGATGGTCTCGGGCCTACTGGGAGGGGCACTGGGACCAGGAGGGGCCAAAGGGGACAGATTGGGGCTGCTGGGTGGAAGCTACTGACAATTGGCACCAGTAACTGAGTGGGGCTCCAGATGCTACTTGCAGCTGGTCCAAACCTCCCCAGTCCCACCCAAATCCTGAGAAAAGTCCTATTTTCTTAGTCAAAACATGAATGCTTTATTTCCATTTTATACGCACCTGCAACTCCCACAGACTATGTCAGATCTTTGGCGTTACTCAGCACTTTATAAAACGGTTTGTGCCCAGGTGCTGTTAGTCTGTGTGGGACAATCCAGCCTGAGCTCAAATATTTCTGGAGCATGGTGAATAAAGGCAACTGTTAGGCAAAGATACTCAAAAGTGACAGTCGAAAAGTACAGCTTACCGCCTGCTGATAAATGTGCCACTGGACCTGCTCTGGCAGAAACTGTCACTGGGCAGGGGGTGCCCTCGTGAGCCTCAGTGGGTGCGTGAGGCAGTGCCAGGAGGTGAGCGGTGATGGTGTGTAACTAGAGAGCAGGTCTTGGGTTTGCAGCCTTGACCGCTTAGCAAATTGAAGCGGGCCAGAAGCCCCCAGATTTCCCTGCTGTGTCCCCTCAGTCAGGTTGATCTGATGCTTGGGGGCTGTTGGCTCTCTCCTGCTCAAGTTTCTTTGCTCAGGATGGAGCTCCTGGACTCTGATTCCTGCATCTGCTGGTGCTTTCTGAAAGGAGAGGGGCATGGCCCATGGGTTCTCCACGGAAGAGACCTTGTCGGGGCGCAGATTGCTGCTGGCAGTGCTGGAGCTGGACCTCTGCTGCTGAGGGCACAATCCCCTGGCCGTTGCCTCATGTGCTCTGCTGCTGCAGCTCCACGGGGCAGAAGGGGCCTCATCTGCATATCCACAGCCAAAGTGCTGGGATGGCAGCCATGGCCACGGCTGCCAGCAGCCCAGCCTCAAGCCCCACCACCAGCACCACCTCCGAGTTGCCTGAGAA